AAACAATGGCAATAATAATAATGGAGGTAATTTCTATAGCGCCCACTCCCGTACAATACAGCTCTAGGCGTCTTACATAAAATGCTTTCTTAGTTAGTTAGTTATAGTAAGAGTTTTACGGCACTTGCAACACAATAAGGTCATATAAGTGCCGAAGATTAGAGGTGTTACAAGAGAGTAACAAACACAAAAAAGAAGGAGGAGAGATAAGGATGATAGATGTATGATAGGAAAGAAGAAGCAAACCACACCAGAGCACCCGCGAACCACCCACAAAATGCTTTCATCTCACCACAAAATAAAAGTGAATGAACAGGCATATGTACGTGCTTTACATTAACACATAACGCCCCTGTCCTAAGCAATCCACTTAAGTTCACACTTTGGGAATTTTCCATTTTTACTCCCTCTCAAAGCTCTATCACAGATGCACCTTTCAACATCACCAAAATGCAGTTTAATGCTATGGTCAATGTTATCAATGTTCTTGCTTTTCACGATTCCTGATAGGAGCAATACAATTAAAATGAGTATTTTTTGTCTCTGACGTAAAAGATATCCAAACAGATTTAAGTGGATTGCTTGCGACACTGACGACAAGCACTGCCGTCCTACGACAGAAAAACGTATGTGCCAAAAATGAAATTTTGAAAGAGAGGCAAAAAACTAACTTTTTATGTGTGTTTCAATTTTACTCAAATTTGGTTGATCTAATTATTTTATGTCAATATTCATTGACCAGTCTAAATTTTGTCTGATTTGCTGAGGTAAACGGTAAATAGTTAGGGAGTAATTGATGAACATTTCTTTGGTTATAACAATATCGACATGTAATTAGTTCAGAACCCACATTTTCAAAAGCCCAAAACTTCCTTAATTTTAATTGCACAGCCATAAAAACCAAGACAGAAAGACACTCCATAAAAACCTGTTTCTCCCCTGTATAAAACGCGACTTAACCTAATTACGCATATACGTTTTTTTGGGTCATAAGACGGCAGAGAGCACCATTCAAACTATCACAGTACAATCAACAACGATACGCACATCTCATTATGATCATAAGAGCACTATGAATGAAAAGGACTGACGGACTATCAAGACCGCGTTTCACGAGGAATGTTTTCAAAAACGACAAACGTGCTCACCGGTATCGGAGGACTTGCGCCGTTTCTTCTCCTCCTCCACCACCGGCACCACGTGGCTGCTGTGTCGCGACTCCGAGCCCGACTGGCTGCCCGACCTTGACCTAGGCCTTTTCTTGTCTTTCTCCATGGGGGCCACCTTCGCCTGAGAATTCAAGTAGAGAGAATGATTTTTGAGTGAGGAAGCGTGTGTTTATAGAAAGATAGCATCTATTCTGTTTTTTTGTTTGATTGTTTGTTAGCATATTTTTTAATTTACATAATTTTACGCTACAATCAACCGAGAAATTTTTTGATCTATTAGGAGGCAGGCTTCTTACCCTGCCTGTCAGGGCCAACTCGTGCCGAGAGGGATATAACATCCAAGCTGAAAGACCAAGATAGGCCTACTTGATGGAAATTTCTTCTTCTTTTTTTTTTACAGTAGAGGGTTTTACAGCGTTCACAACTGCATAAGGTCATATGAGCACCAAGGGGTGGGTGTCAACAGAAAAGTCTTTACAGGGAATCAGACTTTGACTGCTCACCTCTCTAGCTTCAACAGCACAAGGTCTGCTTCGACTATCAAGGCACCCCGGAAATAGCAGGTCACAGAGAGTGACAAACATACAAAAGAGGTAGAGGAAAATGACAATAGTAAGGATCAGGAAAGAAAAAGCAGCAGTTCCCTGTTGTAGATCAGGCACAGTTATGAGCGTGACATGAGCCCATTCACAATTCTACTATGCTTGAACGAGAAATGTCCCCCCCCCTTTGGGAATGGCCTAAAGACACTTCAGTCAGCGGCACCGCCCCGGGGGGTAAAAATTTCTCCCCACTCGGGAATCGAACTCAGGTCTCCTATGTGAGACAACAAAGTGCCTTACTTCGCCTGAGGCTTCGTGTAAAAAGAAAACATTCTGGAGTACAGAAACACCTGTTTATTGGGAGATAGTATAGATTTTGCTCTCAGCTTGGGAAGGGGTTAGAAAAATGTGTTGCATTGATTTTATACATATCTGATAGGGGTTCTTCCACAGGAAAAAAAAAACCAAACAACCCAACAAACAAGCAAACAAAACAAACCAAAACAAACAATCAAACCAAACAAAAAAAACAGAGGGCTCCAATTTTATCAGAGTAATTGGCAGGTCTGCATTTGAGGGGCTGAGCTGCAAGTCCCCCTCAGTCCATTTTAGCCCTTTTGAGAAAATCGGCTTTATTGAATGCTGCTATACGCATGAAAATGTGTACAAAGAAGTTTTTTAGTGGCTTCTAAGAAGTATGTGTTAGGTTGTGGCCGAAAACACTTTGTGCATCTGACAGCCGGTTACAATGAGCAAAAAAATCTCGATTTTTTTCCAAAAACGTCGCTTAGCAGGTTTTGAATCTGAAACACTCATTTGGGAGTACTGACTGGCAGCTATGTAATCATACCAACAGAGCTAACAAGTCAACAACATAGACTCTCCACATAACAAAACAATCACCGACGACACAAACAAAAAAAACGTCAAGCCCTCACCTCCTCCTCCTTCTTCCTCCGCTCCCTCAGACTCCCCGCACTGGGGGCTGGGGAGCGTGAGGACGTGGCCGGGTCCCCCTTGCGGTCTGACCTATCTCTACCAGCTGTCGTCGTTGTCGTCGCTGTCATCGTAGTCGACCCAGGCGCTGGCGAGCGCGAGGTTTTCCGCGGCGAGCGAGAGCTGTCGGTGACTCTCTTGGGCGGCGCCGGCGAGGTCTTGGACTCGGGAGAGCGAGACGACCGCTTGGACGCCCGGCTCTGGGACTGCCGGGACCTGGTCGAGTCTCCACTCTTCTGGGAGCCTTTGGGGGAGGGCGTACGGGAGACTTTGCTGTCTCTGCACGAAGAGAATGTTCGTTTGTTTGAGTTTGAGTAAAGAGAAGCACATCGACACAATAATGGTCATTTAGTGCTGGGGAAAAGAAAGACAGACAGACAGAAACAACACAGGGGAAAGTAAAGAAGAAGGAGCTACCAGTGGCACCCTCGAACCACCCACTGCACAGAGAGAGAAGTTCCCCAGTTTGAGTTAGAGTAAAGAGTATTAGTTTAGTTTTAGTACAGGTTTTACGGCGCTCGCAACTGCATTAGGTCATATGAGCGCCAGAAAATTAGAGGAGTTACAAGGGAGTAACAAACATATAAAAGAAGAAGGGGAGATAAGGATGACAGATGTTTCATAGGAAAGAAGAAGCAAACCACACCAGAGCACCCGCCAACCACCCACTTAGAGTAAAGAGCAGCATATTGATACGATAACAATCCTTTAGAGCTGGGACGAAGCAAGACAGACAGACAGAAACCACAGAACAAAAGTTTAGTAAGCGTTTTATAATAGATAGCATTTGTATAGCGCATATCCCCGCTCAACAGCAGGCTCTATGCGCTTTACACTATATTATTACCCCAGCAGACCATAGAACACTCCGAAACATTCTCAGCTTCCCGGGAAGTATACAGTGCGAGCAGCTGATTAAGCGCTCAAACATTTACAAACTGACAAGATCTTTCGCTGTCTATAGCAGGGTACCCATTCCGACCTGGGTGAAGTGAGGAAAATTCGTGTAAAGTGCCTTTCCCAAGGACACAACGTCGGGCCCCTGACGGGATTCGAACCCACGACCTTACGGTTGCGAGTCCGAGAGCCTAACCACTAGGCCACCGACGCCACTTACAACACAATAAAGTCTTAAAGGTGCCGAAGATTAGAGGTGTTTCAAGAGAGTACAAACACAAAAAAGGAGGACGGATAAGGACGATAGATGATTGATACAAAAGGAGCAATTCACACCAGAGCACCCGTCAACCACCCGCAAATCCATCTGTTTGTTACTTGTTACATATGCCCAGCGCAAGCGTGATGCTACAAAGCGTGGGTATACAGTGAAAATATAACACGGTCAAACCAGCACAGTGGGTGGCTGGCAGGTACTCTGGTGTGGTTTGCTCCTTCTTTCCCATCCAACATCTATCATCCTTATCTCCCCTCTTTCTTTTTTTTTTTGAGTTTGTTACTCTTTTGTAACACCTCTTATCTTCGGCACTTGCACGACCTATTGTGTTGCAAGTGCCATAAAACTCTTGCTAAAGTTAAACTACAAACTTGCACTAACAGCCACTTATATAAGACAATCACCTGTACAAACGGCCACCTGTTTAAGACAATCACTTGTATTAATGGCCACTTGTATAAGACAATCACCTGTACAAAAGGCCTCTTCCTATTTTCCTCCTTGCCTTCTTTTTTACATTGCAATGACACGGTGTAAGACATCTACCTGTCTAAGATAACCAATTCTTTTCCACGGCAACAGGTAGCCGTTTTAGATCGTTTTGACAGTACATCTCAGATTTCAACATTTTCTTTTAAAAAAAATTTATTTTTTTTTAAACATTTAAAAAAAAACAACAAAAAAAACCCAACTTACTTTGCACTGTCCTCGCCCTTGCCAACAGCCTTTGTTTCATCTTTGCCACCATCTTTTTCCTTGCCCATATCGCCAGATTTTGGAGGTGGAGCCTTCCTCTCGGTTGCCCGATTACCTCTGCGAGAGCTAAGTCGACTGCCGATAGCCGATTTCGACTTGTCAGCATTTTTCCCCACATCGTCCGAGCTCTTCGGGCTTTTCTTCCCGCCGAAACTTTTGGTCTGAGGCTTCTTCTTGACCCCGATGGTCTCGGTTTGCGAGAACAAACTGGCAAGTGAGGGCTCGTCTCTGGCTAGTGGGGACTCATCCTTGGCAGGCGAGGCCTTCACCTTGGCTGTGGCACTGGGCTTGTTGGCACCCGACACTTCCAACAACGCAGGGGGCCCAGAATTTCTCTCCCCAATTCCCCTCCCCTTCACGTCTCTGTCCAACAGTTTATCCTTCGCCGCAAGCGCCGGCTCCACTCGTCCATTACCCCGACTCAAACGCCCGTCCCCTCCCGACGACTCCTCCCCCCCTCTCCTGCTGCGACCCTCCTCTCTCTCTCGCTCCCTCGAGTCATGGGACCCCTCCCGCGGCTTCCAGTCATCGTCCCGCACACCAAAACCCCCCCGCGGGCCAATCACGTCCTCCCCACCACCCGCAAACCGCCCGCCGTCCCGCCCCTCCGCACCAGGCAAGGGGCCCTTCCCGTCGTTGCTCCCCGGAGGAAAGGGAAGCAACCTCTCCTCCCTCCCCACGCCGCGACGGTCATCACGCATCCCGCTGCCAAACTCTCGGACCCTGTCCTCCCCCCTAAACTCCCCGAATCCCCCTCCCCCTCGCCCGTCCCTCCCCCCCTCCATGTCATCTCGGTAGCCATCTCGTCCATCTCTCGCTCCCCTCTCCCATGACCTCTCGCCGCCTCGCCCAGGACCTGAAACAAAACAAAAAATAACCACTGATCCAGTTTGTTGTCATCAATCCAGAAAAAAAAAAAGAAAAAAAGAATAATAACAATGACGGAAACAATCTTTACTAATCTCATAAATAGAACTTTGTCTTGGTCATTTACAAAGGCGGTGGTTTCATAAATACATTTTTTGAGTACTGACTGGCAGCTATGTAATCATACCAACAGAGCTGATAAGTCAACTGCAAAGACTCTAGAACCAAACTTGTTTGGTTTTTTTGTTTTAGTAGAGGTTTTACGGCGCTCACAACTGCATACGGTCATATGAGCGCCAGAAGATTAGAGGTGTTACAACAGAGTAACAAACATAAAAAAGAAGAAGGGGAGATAAGGATGATAGATGTTTGATGTGAAAGAAGAAGCAAACCACACCAGAGCACCCGCCAACCACCCGCTGCAAAAGTTACTCTCAAAAGGCCTATTAGAGAACACACTACACCATTGCTTTTACAGCTACCTTGGCCACTTGTTAAAGCCCGTGTTTATTACAAATTGCAGTCCTGTGCTATAAGTGTTTAAACGATCTGGCACCATAATTTTGAACATTTTCTAATTTACAAAAAGGAGAAATGCTTTTGTTTTGGCAAGAGTTTTACGTCATTTTAACACAATTAGGTCATATAAATGCAAAAGATTAGAGGTGTTACAAGAGAGATATAAACACAAAAAAGATGGGAGGAGTGATAAGTGCCATAGATGTTTGATAGAAAAGAAGGAACAAACCACACCAGAGCACCTGCAAACCATCTATATCTTATTCTATTGTAAAGCACCTTGAACCACCACAAAGTGGGCGCTATAGAAGTGAGCTTTATTATCATCATGATTATGTTTATTATTATGATTATTATCAGCCACAAAAGGTTGAGGGCTGTGCCTCACCTGGGAAGCCAGGTCTTCCTCTGTCTATCCGGCCATCAAATCCTCTCTGGTCTCTCCGATCAAATGAATCATTGCCACCTGTGAACCGAAAACAATATAATGATGACAACTTCTTTTTCTCTTTCAGTATACTTTGTTTAAATTTTGTTCTTTAACTCTTTATCTATGGCAAGCTGCTGCCTTTTCTTTAACTCTTTATCTCCGCAAAGCTGTGCCGGTGAGCCGCTGACAGCGGGCACATTCCTTTACGATGACGTCGACATCAAATTCTTTTCGGCAATTGCCGAAAACAGGTCTCTTTTATCAGTAGTTAATTCATTAGATGAAAAACTATCAAAATAGGAGGACTCATTTTGATTTAATGACCCATTTCGTAACTTTTTGTCATTTTTAGATTTAGTACCAAAAAAAGGGCCTGGCATAGTGGGTTTACCCCCCCCCCCCCCCCCATGGAGATAAAGAGTTAAGTGAGCACATTGCACCCTCAGTGAACAGCGCTGTGAAGGTAGAATAGCAAAAGCTATGGATGGTTTTATCATATGCAAGAAAAAAAAAACTTTTTCACCCTGTACTCGAATTGCATGAATAGTGACCTCACTCTTCGAAGCATAAATGAAGTCTTTCTTTTCCTCAAAAACTGCATAGAACTAACACAGATGCCCTGACCCACTGTCACTAACCTCGGTCAAACCCTCCCCTCTGCCGGTCGCGTTCAGCTCCAAATTGACCGCCTCGGGGCCCGCCAGAATCCCCGCCGGCGTGGAAGCGAGACGGCTCCTCAAACGAACGCTGGTCCCGGTCACCTTCTCCTCGCTGACCAAAGCGTCCAGCTCTGTCACCCTGAGGGGAAAACATTCTCTTTTTTAACGAATACATAAATAGATGAATTAATAAATAATCAAATAAATATATAAACAAATAAGCAAACAAACAAAGAGACTAAATAAATAAATAAATAAATAAACAAACAGATAGATAGATAAATAAATAAAACAAATCACACTTTACTGATCCTTGAGAAGAAATCTGGGCTACAATGACAAACATACATGATATTGATGCTTAGTGCAACACTCCACCATTTCCCATTTTGAAAAGTGACGTATAACATTGAGCAGCATTGAGCTGCCGACATCTAAACACACATTTGTGAGACAGCGTGGTCAAATCAGGCACTCGTCAAAATAATGAAATTGAAGAAAGCAGCTTTTTTACGTCAGTTTGGCCATTTTTTTTTTTCGAATTTTTTAGTTTTGGCTCAACACCTTTTAAGTCCATTTAAAGACACGTTTCTGTGTGGATTTTTATTGAAAGACATCCATTACAGGCGCAAAAGTTGTAAATTTTTAGTTTCTGAGGACTCTTTAACTATGAAAGTCCCCAAACTTTGACGGCCATTTTCTTGTCAGTTTTACCTCTCAAACTAGGCGACATCTACCTCCTTCAATTTCAAATATCTCAACTTCTATTCAAGATAGATGGATACTTTTTTTCATTGAAAGCAGGGTAAATGAAAAAGCTTAAAGATGATACCAATCACTCCACATGCCCAAGAATTGACGCGTGCACGGCTCCACCACGTCATGACACATATCACACACATACAGAGAATATATGAAATACACAATATCACACCAATACAGATAATTCTTACAGAATAAGTCAGTGCTGGTCACCATTGCGCAGCGCCCTCATTTTTGGAGGGTTTACCGTGCCTTACTCAAGAACACACCCCCATGTGACCACCCACTTAAACCTTGTGTCACCAACACTTGCTTGACATTTACTTTTGTGTTTGAACTCACTAACCCCTCAACCTATGTGTCTTAACACCCCCACCCACACACAGGGATGCCAAATGATTTTGGAAAAAAACAACCTGAAAATGAGCGGAGCATCACACCTCACCTTAAACGAACCTTGTAAAATCTTTCCATGAGCAAACAAAAACATTTCTCTTACCATTCCCCTTTCCTTTGCAAGTGGAAAAAAAAGGGGAAAAACCGGAGATTTGGCATCCCTGAACACACTTTAGATAACGTAGTAGGCCTGCTTCCGGCCCTGCCTGTTAGGGCCAACCCCGACTGAGAGGGATACAACATCCCAGGAGAATAATAATAATAATAATTGCATTTATATAGCGCATATCCACGCTCAAGAGCTTGCTCTATGCGCTTTACAATCATTATTACCCCAGCAGACCCTCTGAGAACGCTCAGAAACATTTTTGGCTTCGGCGGAAGCATACAGTGCAAGCTGCGGATTTCACGCGCTCAAACACTTCCAAACTGACAAGATCGTTCACTGTCTATAGCCGGGTACCCATTTCCACCTGGGTGAAGTGAGGAAAATTTGTGCAAAGTGCCTTTCCCAAGGACACAACGTCGGGCCCCTGATGGGATTCGAACCCATGACCTTACGGTTGCGAGTCCGAGAGCCTAACCACTGGGCCACCGACGAGAAAGACCAAGATACTCGACTTAAAAATTCTCCCTACTCCAGAATCAAAACTCCGGTCTCCTGTGTGCCATAAGCAGTCACATTCAGGCAAGGGCTCGCTCTTCACGTAAATAGATGCCCCTGGTTTAATTTTTCAACACATTTGATTACAGCACTTGTTCATCTCTATTTCCATATCATGAATTTGCTCATGGTCGACGAAATTTTTCACAATTTTTTTTTTTAACTTAAAAATCGATCATTCACATGTTCATAGCAAAGTTTGGCTTGAATCCACCACAAACAATAAACAACCTAACGCTCATTTATTTGACTTTTTATCAGTTACAGTTCTGAATTTATGAGCTACGTTTACGCAAGGTACAAGACATCAATGTACTATAGGGCTTCTTTTCGTACTTGCAAAAGCAGCACAAGCATCCCTTTGTCAATGGACAGTGCACACAAACTTACAGCTTCATATTCATAAAACTATATTTTATGAATGAAGAAATGTGGATTTCTATGTTGATGTACCGTATTGCAGTCCGTGCTGATAAAGCAGAAAAAAAGCATTTGAAAAAGAATAATAAACTACCTAAATTAACACAAAATTAGGGACTTCACTCACCTGTCCAGCCAGTTTCAGCTACCTACTGACAGATGGCTTCATTACCCATCAACAGTCATGAAAGAGGCATAAAAAAATTGTACTGGCTAAAAGATCTTACAAGGTAGGGCCATGCAACGCTGACTGTCAGAGAGCTCACCTGTTGGTTCATCTGGTGAGGGGTGCTGAAATCTCCCGTGCCTCTCCTCATCCTCTCCTCTCTATCCCTATCCAGGGATCCGCCTCTCCGGCCTCTCTCTCTGTTCTCTCCTCGCCCCATCTCTCTCTCCCTGTCTCCTCCTCTCTCTCTGTCCCCTCCCCTCTCCCTCTCCCGCGAAGACGGAGCCGGGGGCCCGTCCTTCCTCACATCACCTCCTCTGCCGCTCCCTCCTCCGCCTCCTCCTTTCCCCCCATCTCTCTCCCTATCCCGTTCCCGGTCACGATCCGACCCTCTGACCGAGTCTGCCCCCTTCCCAACACTGCCATCTTTGCGATCTTTCCCACCGTCCCGTCGGGAATCCCGCGAGCCGTCCCGCAAGTGCTCCATTTCGTGCGCCGCGTCTCGACTGGGTTGTGAGGACAAGTTCCTCCGGTGGCCCCCGGCGTCCCGGCTGCTGTGACCTTCCTCCTTCCTGCCGGCCCCTCGATCCTTGGGGCGACCCCGATCCTCCACCATCTTCCCGCCTCGCTTCTGATCGGAAACTGACTCCCGGCTCTCCTTCGACCACGCGCCTGTGAACAAGGTTGTGCATAGATGGATGAAAAAAGAACATGGTCACGAATATCTGTGCGGCATCGTGGTGAAACCAGGCACTCATCAAAATCATTCAATCAAAGGCACAGGCATTTTTCCACCCAATGGGGAATTAATTTTTACCATTTTAAAAAAATTTTGTTTTTGGCTCAACACCTGTTATGATCATTTAAAAACACATTTATTTAAAAATTTAACGGAAAAACATTGATCACAGGCGCAAAAAATGTAAATTTGCCGTTTTCAAGGACACTCGAGCTTTTGAAATGCCTTTCCCCAGGCCCTTTCCTCGCTGATTCTACCTTTAACACCAGGCAACCCTCACCTCTTTCAATTGTAAGTATCTCAACTTCGGTACAAAGTAGAGGTCTATTTTTTTTTCATCAAAAGCAAGGCAAATAAACAGGCTGTAAGACTATACCAATAACTCAATATGATAAAAAAATTCGACACCAGTGCGCTCTTTCACTC